AGTAATAGAAGCTGCTTTCAATTTCATAACGAAATTCTTATAACTCTTTGGGCCATTCTTACAATGCTCGGTTAGTGCCTGATAACACTAACCGGAAGAATTTATCATGAGTTTACCGATAGAATTCTACCGGTTAGTCTTAACCGACACTTAACCGGACATTGTAAGAACGGCCTTTAATCACCTTCAAAAGTTGTTTTTCTTTTATCTGGATAAATTACTATTAYGAATTTTTATTTTATAACATTTTATGTCTATACTAGAGCAATAAATGACTTTTTATGCATTTTGTATATTTTTTCTTTTTTGTATGCTTTATTGTATGCTTATTTCTAGGTTAGTAGTATAGTACACAACATAACACAACATATTTAAAAACGCATGTGATCAAATTCTAAACGTTTTTAGTGCATATTTTTTATAGTTTATCGAAAATCAAGCACTTAAGTAAATATTCTTATGAATCAAGGTATAATTATATTAAATATATTAAATTAGAATAAAGGATGAAATTCGTACTACCTCTTTAATTTTTTCAAAAATATATTGTATGTGATTGTGATACACAATATATTGTRTATTTTTAAATATGTGTGTCCCAAAAACAGGATACACATAATCGCTCATTACCTTTCAATTCTGTTTGCGGGACATTAAACATTAAACTAGACTAATCGATTATAAATTCATATATGAGTTAAAACTCTTTTAACTCGTGTATTTTGCGCGTGCCCAATTAAACTTCATTTTTCTAAAATGAAAATCCCTATTTTAAATATCATTTTTGAATTAATCAATTTTTTTCAAGACATTTTGATGAATCGACTAATGTTTTGTATCTTTTATTAATAAATAGTAAATCACTTATTACTTAATAATAATAATTTTGATTACATTACGGTGTTTTGTAGGAAATAATATGAAAAAAAWAAAATAAAATTTAATAAGATTTTTGGTATCCGGACAATTTCCCCCCGATTGTTTTTGGCGTAGTAGGACATTTTCCCCCCAATATATTTTCGATGCGGACATTTTCCCCCCATTTTTTTTTAAGTTT